AAAAAAAAAGAAAGAAAGAAAGAGAGAGAAAAAAAAAAAAGGAAGGGAAGGAAGAGAAGGAAGAAAGGATCCTATCAACTTATTGTGTGAACACCCAAATAATACTTAATATTTCAGAGATACAACAGAAAAGTATCCTGACCTTATACCTGCAAAAAATCCCTCCCTCCAAAAAAGGTTTAATTTATTTATGCAGTTCAAAAAATAAAAAGTTGTGACTATATTACAAGCCTCTAAGGCTTTCTCAAAACAAAAGTAATCTATAGCCTGGACTCAAAAAATAAAAAGACTTACCACAGGCTTCAAATTCCTGAGGTGGGAGTTTTCCATAGATCACAGCAAACTGATCATGCGTAGAAAGGCTGACACAGCAAGGGTCACTAAGGAAAGGAAGAGAAACACAAGGGAGAAATGAAAAAGAAAAGAAAGGAAGAAAAAATGCTACTTTCTCTTTTTCGGCATATATAATTTCTATGAAAGAGCTTCTGAAACGCTCAACCCTAGGTAAATATTCAATCAGGTAATTAGTTTTGAAAAGCTTTTCAAATTCCAGATAATAATGCAGTTGGGCAAAATGGTGTTTCTTTGGGGCCCCCAATGAGAAATAATAAATTCTTGGTGATTAATGGCACTTATGTGCTCTTGGACATTAAAAACATTTTCTGCTCTTGAGTCACAACGGAAGCTACAGCTTGAATTTTATTGTTCAATTTGCCTTTTCCTTTCCTGGGTGAGCCAGCACTGGATTTAGAAGTTGAAAGTTTATAGAGTCAGCAGGACCCCAAGGGACTGAGAGCTAAGCTGAGCCAATGAGGATAATGCCAAAGATTATCTACCCTCCGTGAAAAAGCGGGATTCAGAAAAGAAAAAGAAGGAAGGGTGATTATAAAGACTGACAGTCTGTAACTTAGACAAAATTTCTTTGGGGGGGTTGGCAAATCTCGTTTTAAAAAACAAACAAACAAAAAATTTCCTGGTTCACAGTTGCCAAAGCTCTTCTTTTTTTTCCATCTTTGGCACATGGTCAAAGGACAAACTGATGTCTTCCCAGAGGACTGGAGGAGGATGCATGAGTCTTCAGACTCGGTACAGCAAGGCTCACAGCTAAAAGCAGAGGGTTGAGAGTTAGGACGCTTTCGGAGGTTGAAAGGAAAAGATTTTTGCTCAGTCAACGATGGGTTTTGTCAGTGTTGACGTGCTTTTCCCTGCGTCCTTAAAGAAGTTCCCCAAGTTGGACCTTGGGCATTACCTAAACACTAAACAGGACTATCTCTATCTTTCTGTAATGTTCTTCAAGCACATTTTAGTTACACTTTACAAAACCATCCTTGTCATTTTCCCCAGTCTTGGCAGTGACTGAAAACAGTGCAAAATAGAAGGCTTTCATGGGAACAGTTACCCATATCGAAATTAATACAGTCTTGCCAGTCCTGTGATGTGTTTTCTCTAGCCTTAATCTCCCCATCTGTAAAATGGAGAGGACATCTAGGTCCATAAAGACCACAGGTACAAGGTATCCAATTTATAAAGACCCGGAGCTAAGACTTTTCAGGAATCTGAAAGAAACAAAAACAAACAAGCAAACAAAACATCTCAAAGGAGTACTGGATTAGGGTCTCAACTCTCCCACCTCCTGGGACTGTCCAATCCAGGAGCTTCAACGAGGTCCACGAGGGAAGGCTTATCTTCTCCTATTGGGTAAGTTTACTGAAAATGCGGGTAAATGCACCTCTCTTTTCCTCTGTGTCCCAATTTCCTGTAAACGATAAAACAGTAAAACAAAAAGTAATAAGATCCAAATCTTCCTGCTGGGGACTTGATGAAGATGAATTAGACACTGACACTCAGGAAAAGATGGAAGGCTCTCCATGACAGAGGCCAAACTAATTCAAAATGAAAATCATCAATTTGAGTGTGCTCACATGTTACTTAAAAATCAATGAAGAAACAAAGTGAGGGAACCCTGAAGCCATTTTAGCACCCCTGCTTTCGCACTCCACTCTAACTTAGCAGCCTTGAAAATCTTGGCTCTGAAAACCCAGTCAATCATCATTAATAATGATATTTTTATAGCACTTTAAAAATTGGAATTTCCAGAGCCACTTTGATAGATGCCCTGTCACTACCTTGCCATTTGTGTAATTTTTTTTCTGAGTTGTTTTTTCCCCTGTATTTAAAGAACTTTTTAACAGAGAAGAGGAGGATTTTTCTTTTGATTGAAAAATTCATAAGGGATGGCACAGCTTGCCCTTGCTACGAATCCCTTACTAATGAGCAGTGTAATTTAGCGATTATACAAGGACTTTCAACTTTAACGATTCTAGAACTCGAGTTTACTTAAGGAGTTAAAACAAATGCCTGCCTGTTGCCTTCAGATCTGGAATGAGAGTTCAGTGAGTTTGCACAAAGATGAAAAAGATTAGAGGCAAAGCCAGGTTGTTGTTTTCTCTGATACACAAACATCTCGAGCAATTTACCTGTTGTTTTTCTCACTGTGAACCTTTAGGAATTACTTAGTACCTCTAGTGTGACTTGCCCAGAAAATTCAGAATATTCCTTCAAAATATTTTAATTCATTAAGTTATAAATAAATTAGGCAAATTTTCCTCTGCTTCTGGCTTTATCTGATCATTTCTTCCTCATACACACACACACACACACACAGACACACACACACACACCAAACAGCACTGAGTATTCCTTGCCTTTGAAAATGCAGATGAAATTTTTTATTTCTCTTGTAACTTCCACAAAACTATCCAAGCTTATGAGATATGTTGGCCAGCTTCAACTTTGAAAGGGAACTCAAACAATTCATGTTTAACCTCTGAGCCAAAAAAAAAGCCTGAATTTTTTCAAAAGTTAGTATTGTTTTGTTTTTTCCCCCCTTGTAGCTTCTTTTATTCTTTGCCTCCAAAAGACTGTACAGGAATTTTTATCACCACTGGGGGCTTAATACTGGTGGTGAAAAAAACGAGTTCCTGTCCTGGTGCTGAACTAAAAAGGAATACATGTCTTGGATGTATCAGGTTTCTTTGTCAAGCAAACAAAAATAAAGGGATCTAGTTTACTGGAATAGTTGCAGTGCTCATTAAAATTGATGACTTCGAAGATTCTGTGCCTCTCTTCCTTTAACCAGGGCCATCAGCCAAGAATCTGCTGTGCTGTTAAAGACATCATGTTATTGGGGTGTTGTAAAACAGACCACTGCTGTTGCCTGTGCTCACCCTTCATGTTTCAGTGTGACAGCGAGAGAGGCCTAGGGGCACTGGCAGAGGATGGGCCTCGCCATTTGGCCAAGGGGCGTCAGTAGAATAGACGTATGGGACTAAGACGCAACCTCGTATCTTTTAGCCATGAACATCAAGTTCGAAAGAGAAAGAAAAGGAGCTGGATTAGCATGAGGCGGAGTTCAGTTTTTCTTAGAAATGTGCGACTCTGCAAAAGTGTGCCTTTATTTTTGGCACAAATTGCTATAGCAAATTACATAGCTTATCAGATGTGGTTTTTTGGGCTCAGTGGAGAAGCCACCGCAGGGACTTGTTCTCTTTGTTGTTTGTTCCCAGTTGGGAATTTGGATAGATCAGTGTCCTCTTATATTTCAGGAACAGGCTTTAATAATAAGTGCTAACACTATTCGTGATCCAATTAAACTCACATTATTACAATTGACCAAATTAGACCTTGGACTTACAAGAGATTTCCATTCTGCCCTAAGGGAGGTAAGATACAAAGTTTGAAACTCCATGTCACAGATTAGCCAACTGGACCACGTAAACTTTGGGGGGAGTGAAGAGAACAGAACAGGGCAGGAGGTCAAGCCCAGTGAATGAGGAGTTTCAGAGAGAACATTCTCACTTCTTCTCACCAGCCCTCTCTCTCCTTTATTTCTTGACCGTCTATGTAAATTCACCCTCATCTAGGTGAATGTCACTTTTGATATTATTTCTATTTATTTTGTTGCCAAAAATGGAGAATAGATTGAAAACATAATTATAGAAACAGAAATTTTCCACTAGCTAAAATAACCATCGAGTACTCACGTGTTCGTTGGTTTATTCACTCATTTATACCAAGATAAAGCACATACCAGGGGGGATGCAAAAGAAGTATAAAAATAGCGTTCAAGGAGGCCAATTTATTAAAAGTACAACACAAGACAATAGGTAAGCAAGTGCATCACACCCAGGAGCACAGTGTTGAAGGTAGAGGGAAAAGTCAATGTGGAAAAGAGAGGCTTAGTAAAGAACAACTCCTGGGAGAAGATGAATCTTAACTGGAAACTTCAATGCTGCATAGATCTTCAAGTGTTTTTTCACTTTGGAACCCTTTTCTTCCAATGAAATCTTAACACAGAAATCCAATGCAGAGCCAGAAGAGAGCCCAGCTCTCACCCTCTCCACTTCCCATATTCCTCCCCTGTGTTTCCCCTACCTTCAAGGTTCACAATTGGAGAATCATGGGCATCGATAAAAAGCAAGTTAAGGAAGAGAAGGAAGGCAGCACTGGGTGTGGAGAACAGCATGAGTAAAGCTGAATGAACAGGTATGATAGAAATGTTTTGAATGAGTCCAATGAAAGCATTTAGGCAAAGAAATCTGCCTGAAGTTGATTCCATAGGCCTTAGGGGACACATTGACGATTCTCAAATTGAAGAGTGATGTGATAGAAATGAACATTTAAGGATATTAACATGGCAACTATATGCTGATGGTTTGCAATAGAGAGAGTCCAGTGAGGATGCAACTGGAGTAATCCGAATGTCAGAAATAGAGGGCCCCCAACAGAGTCGCAACTTCAAAAATAGGGGTGCAGCCAATAGGTCTTAGTGATTGATTAAATATGGGAGTGATGGAAATACAGGCTTGAAAGTCATTTTTTACTGAGGTATTTATATTATACACTTGTAAGAATCTGTAGTTTGTCCACGGCCTTTATCTCTATTAGTCATTATACATTTGTGTGATTATTTTACTAATACATTTCTACCCCTGGACTGCAATACTCCATGAGATCGGGGACTCTGCCTATTTGGTACTAGAACTTAGCATCATAGGTATAAAACAGCCACGCATATTTGTGAAATTAAGAAACTCAATAATTGATGGTGTCATTGACTTTATTAAAAGAACTAGAGAAAAGTAGTTGAGTTCGATCTTTATCATATTTTTCTTAGATGTAGAAAATAGGTCTAAATTCAGATTTCTTACCCCTGCTTACCACATGGGTCTGAAGAGCAGTTGAAATGTCAGTGATGGGTGTAAAAACTAGGCCATCAACAGCAATGAAGCCATGAGAATGAATTAGTTTACCCAGAGAGAGTGTGCGTTTAAAGACAGAAGAGCAGAGAGAACTTGAGGAATCTCATGCAAAAGTCAAATGGAGAACCGGAACAGTCAAAATTAAAGAATATTTTTCTGAGGGTAAATTTGGAATGGTTTGCCATACACCCACACTTTGAGACATTTATAAACTATAACAGGAAGAAATCCTCTTTTAAAAAAGTTTAAAACATTAGGAATTTTGGAAGTGGGGATAAAATGTACAATTAATCAAAAGGAATCCAACCCATTTTCAGTCTCTATCAGAATTTTTTTATAGTATTTGTAAAATATGACTGACCACCTTATCCCAAATACTCATGGTGTCCCTGCTGAGAAAGAGTAGCCCAGACATGGAGCTTTTTCTTTGCTTTGCTTTTTTTTCTCTTTTCTTTTTTTCTCTCCCACTTTCCTTTGATAGCAACATATAAAACATCTCTTTCTTAGAATTATATAAGCCCCATGAAATTCTCAAATCTCATTTGCTGATCTAATTTTGGTACCATTCCACCTAAATCCTCTTGTTCGTTGTTGTTTTTGTTGTCAATGCAGCTATTGTTGTTGAGTTGTTTTGTTTTTAGAGTTTTTGTTTTGTTCTCTTCTGTTCTTTGGGTGGTAGAAAGGAGAGAGAGAAAAATATGTTTGAATGACACAAACTATGATTTCTTTGTAGTCAAAGAAAGTGCCTGTATCCCCCGTCCATTCTTACTTAGAGCATTAGACAAACAGATCTTTCTTTTTTTCTTAAAAATAGCATTAGCCCCAAGGACATTACTATACAAAGTCACAATGTGGATTTTCTTCCAATTTTTTTCTATTTAGTCCTAGGAGAAATTATGTGTGTTTTATCCAGAAAATAAATAGGTATGGATTTTGAATGCCTCACATGCTACGTGCTGTAATTCATATAAAAAATGTAAATGTTAAAGTTCTGAAGGTATTTGAAAGTGAAGTCTAATATGAATAGCAAGGAGTCTGAGAGAAGAAAACTCTGGGAATAAAAAGACATTGTAGCCACCAATGGTATTTCTTGAGCAGAAGCTGCACAGGTACTTTCTGGTTTCAGGCCTCAAATAGTGGTTTTGTTCCAGAGGAAACACCAAACTACCAAAACTTGAGATGGGTCCAGGGACAATACAGAGCCGAGACAATCCTCTGCTAAATCTGGAAGTTAGGCTTCAGAAGGCTGCGCATCTGCTTGAAGCTACCTCCAATCCATGAAGGCCTTTTGGAGTTTGTTCATTTATTCATGTCCACGAAGCTCTAAGAGGACATCTAAGATATGTCCAGCGCTGTACTAGGCCAAAGAAGTAAAGAGACCCAGTCCCTGGTCCAGGGAGCCCGCGCTGGGGGGAGCTCCTCTGTAGCCACCACCCCCAACAGTCTTTCCTCCTCACCTTCTGAAAGATTTGGCAGGTATCTGACTGTAAACAGGCAGCTCTTTTGTTGCTATCAGTTGTGTTTATAGGCACATAAAAAACCTTACGTAGCTGTGACTTAATCTCATTTTCCAAGAATAACACCACTTTTTTCACATCCCCATTCATATTTTCTCTTTATGTAATCCATAACTGCAGATGGAGCGAACTCACCTCTCTGGGTGCTGTCTGCCCGAACACTTGGCAAGACGCAGGGAGCATCCTCCTCCAGAACACTGTGAAAGTCCTGTGGAGAAAGAATCATCAGTCACAGGGGAGAGAAATCGTCCAGCTTATACCAAGGGTCAGGCTAAGGAGGATTAAATGGAGACACATGCTCCATGAATAAAAAAGAAGACAAGCAAGAAGATTAAAAAGAAGAACTCATTGAACACATCGTGCTGCTTTGATGGAGCAAGACAAGAATACGATGGGTAACCTGCCAGGCATACAGGAAATAATGTGGCATGCCGACGGCTCGCCAAGGCTGAGTGGGCCTCTGTATTGCAGGCAAAGTAGTCAAAGCCTGATTGCAGGTTCTCCAAACACTGCACTGCACACCCAATGACTTCATAACAACCCCACCTGTGCTGACAACAGGGAGCGTCACCCAGTGTTCTATTTCTATTATGCTGTTTTTCAAGAAAACACATTCTTTCTTAGCACATGCAGCTATCCTATTCTATAAAGATGTCTTCTCGGGGCGCCTGGGTGGCTCAGTTGGTTAAGCGACTGCCTTCGGCTCAGGTCATGATCCTGGAGTCCCTGGATCGAGTCCCGCATCGGGCTCCCTGCTCGGCAGGGAGCCTGCTTCTCCCTCTGACCCTCCCCCTCTCATGTGCTCTCTCTCTCTCATTCTCTCTGTCTCAAATAAATAAATAAAATCTTTAAAAAAAAAAAAAAAAGATGTCTTCTCTTTACGTGTGTGTTTTACCCTACGTGCATAATTAGAATGATCTGGCCGGGGATCTTGCATGCTCTCTACTTTCTTTATAACCTTTCTTGATGCCTAGCACACCAAAACCACCCAGTAAATGTTGTTGAGCAACAGGTAAATTTTTTTAAGATTTTATTTATTTATTTTAGGTGGGGAGGGACAGAAGGAGAGGGAGAGAGAGAGAATCTCAAGCAGACTCTGCACTGAGGGCAGAACCCAATGCGGGGCTCGATCCCACAACTGCAAGACCATGCATGATCTGAGCTGAAATCAAGCGTCCACCACTCAACTGACTGAGCCACCCAGGCACCCAAACAGGCAATTCTTTACAAAGAGAAAGGCCGGGCCACAAGTGTATGTCACATGTTGACGAGGTGTCTCCAAGCACTGTTCATCACAGCTGCTGTCCTAAGAAGCAAGAATTTATGAGCAATGACCAGGTAGACACCATTGGTGCTGGAACCAATGGCAGCATCCATGAAAAGAACGCTTGACCAAACTTTGCTACCCAGCCAGTCCCCACTTGCTGACGGTTCTTGCCGGTCTGGGTTTCTTCCTGCTTCTTCAGCATGCCTTTTCTCCTCATGATCTGACACCTGGACTGTCTTCCCCGATTCAAAACATAGTCATTCTCCAGAGCCCTGCCCGTGAAGCACAACTTCTGTGAATTTTTCAGGTCTCAGGGAACTTGTACTCTTCGGGATTTACAGCCAATGATGGTCCATATTTAGCATCCTTATTTACTTCCCATCTGTACTCTTCCTTATTTTCTGGGCCCTTGTCTTCTCTATTTCTTATCTAGATTCTAAGCACCTGTGAGTTCATTGCCTCACAACCTAGGACTATGATTTTATAAGTGATCAATAAGTGATCAGTTGAATGGGCAGCTTCTCAGTACACCAAAAACTGGGTAATATGAAAGTATGCACACATGTGCATACATACACACACATTCAGGAAGCATCACTCAGCATTAGTTACTTTGTGTATTATCCCATTTAATACTCACAGCAACCCTATGTACCACATAGGTAGGTACGAGTCCCATTTCCATCTCCTTCATGGGTAAAATTTACATATTTTGCCCAATGCCATCAAGTCAGTGACAGGTATAGACCATAGATTTTATTGTCTTCTGATTCAAGATCATGTCTCCTGCCCCACAGATATAATCATAACAATATAATAGCTTGTGCTCTTAAAAAAAAATCTTGATAAAGTATAATCTGTCTCTCTCACCGCCCCCCCTTCTGAGCCTTTCCCCTTTCTACCTTGAATATTGAATATGCGCAGCATACGGACATTACCTAGCATGCCAGGTATAAGTCAGGAAATGCTGCTGTAAAAAATAATAACAGGATCAGCTTCTCAGTCTTTGTTAGTGTAAAAACCACAACACACCCGATATTTTCCAACAAATGTATCAAATGGGTCACTCCACTCATTGGCATGTGGACTTGTTCTTCCGGCCTACTGAGTCAGTCAGAACTGGAACATTTGAGTGGCTGTGTGTCAACGTCCTTTGAAGGAAAAATATCAACATAAGCAATAAAATTTGTAAGTATTCAGAATCATAAGGTTCCCAGCCTCTCCACAGGGATTATATTACTTGATTCTGACACGTATGAGATGCAAACAACACGTATAGTAGGACTGTCCCCGATTAACAGGTGAAGAAAACAAGGCTGAGAGAAGTTAAGTGATTTACTAGAAGTTAATAAGTTAGTGAGTTGCAGATTCTTAACTGGAATCCAGTTTTGCTTTTTTTTTTTTTTTTTTTCCAAATTGTGATCTTTCCCCCACATGCCAGGAAAGGAGTTGAATGGAATGAAACTAGTCACACGACAGGGCCTGGACCAGGATGAGCGTGCACGAGAAGTGAAGAGCCCCTAGCCACGTAAGGAGAAGCCCCTTCAGGGAGAGAAGAAGCCTCCACACCATCTGAGAGAGGGAGGAGGGGAAACAGGGGCCAGAGAGTAGGCACCTGCAGCTTGCAAGTTGGCAGGAGAGACTGTTCTCCAATGTTCTTGTTCAGAAAGGAAATGTATTTGAAATGCTGAGGACTCCACATATATTCTGTTAATAATTTACCAACTGAAACCATTAAAGATGTTGACAAAAGCTTTCCATTTACTATGGGTGTCTATGGGTGATTTGAAACCACTCATTACCTTTATAAGCTTCTGGGTTATTTCTGAGTGTCCCGACTAATCGGCAGCAGCAACGGCAGCTTGGACCAGCAGCAAATGGAGTTTTGGTTTGAGCATACAACTACCCCGATTCCACACTCAGGCGTCTTGCCACTAATTCACTGAGAGACTGTTGGCCTAGGGCCTCTGTAGGCAAATTATATTTGCCAACAGATGAAATTTATACTGTAACTGGGTATCCCTGAATGGGAAGCTCGATATTAAAAAGTAAATATGTTTTCTCAGAAGAAACGCATCAAGATGTCATCAAAGCCAAACATTCAGTAGAAACGAAGAAGCAGAACATTCCTATATCAAATAATTTTATATTCTTCCAGAACCTTCTAGGTATACAGGGACTAAAGTTCCTAAAGTGAAAGGAACAAACTGCCCTTCCCATGCAGGATGAATTAATTCTTTTAAGCTGCTATTTGTAAATAAAAACCAAGCAGGATATTACTTGCTATTTTGAAGTTCTGGATTCTTGTTCCATTTCTGCCATTTCTAACCCCCAGTTACGTGTTTTAGTTAGAATGCATCTGGCTACAAATAACAGGAGAGGCAACTAACAGTGATATAAGCCATGAGGGCATTTATTCTTTTTCATCGCACAAAACCCAGAGTTATGGAAGCCCCACTACGGTCAAGTTGACATCTCCGTGACTTGTGACCATGTCTCTACTCTGCCAGGCATCCTGGACAGGTTATCCCTCCGTGCCCTTCAGGTGGCTACTGAAATATCCACGTCACACATAGATGATGAGATCCAGAGACAGCAAAGCAGTATCTACCCGTTGACTCCCTTTTTTAAACTGAAAGAAATTTCCAAGAAGTTTGGACTGACCATGTCCTGTGCCTAAGCATAAAGCCAGTCACTTAGCAAGGCTCACGAATGCAATTTCCATGACTGACTTATCATAATCAGGATACACTCCCTGGGGCTGAAGATGGAGCCCAGCCTGCCTTCAAGCATGTGGCCACTCAGAGGACGGTAAACAAAATTAGAGAAAAGGAGGAAAGGTCAGTTTTGCAGGCAACAGGGATTATCTGCCATATCAAGAAACCTCCTATCGTCTTTATGGCTCATTTTCCCCCTGTCACTGGGTAAAAACTAGGCTAGAGGTCACAACTAAGATTCCCCCAACTGCCAGAATTCCACAATTCAAAAATGAAGATTACTCCCTCGTCTGCACTTAATGGAAGAATCAACATGATTCAATGAAATAAGATTTTTCCCAGAAAACAGTATAGGTTAGAAGGAATTAATACACAATATACCAAACAAATGACCTCACTTTTAGAGTCAAGTGTACCATCATCCATTGATCTCTATATTTCTGTGAGATAAACAAAGCTGTATCATCAGAAGAGGTAAACTGAGGCAGAGAGAAGAATAAGTAGCCCACATGCTCTGACTTTGAACAAATCATTAAGTCACAGTGAGGAAAGTGGGAGAAGGTCATGTTATAGCAGTGACATCCAAACCGGGGTGTGCCGGCCATGGAGAGTGCAACAAGGATCTGTCCACGGCTGAGAAGAAATGGTGGAATTTCTATTTATATTTTTGTCTCATCTTTTAATTTATATGAGTAATATTTTATAATGTTCATGATCCACTAGCCAAGTACTAGTGCACACATATAATTTATAGCTATGTAGAAAGAGGAGATGTGGGCTGATAAATTTTTTACTCGTAGAATGCAAAGTTAAAAACTTTGGAGATGACTGGTATAGATCATTCTAGCATTTTGATGGCTTCAACTCCAGCACAGAACTGGAAGGGAAAAGTACATGCAGAAACTGACACGACTGCATCTGTGATTGGCCCACACTGATAAAACAAGCCAGCCCTGAATCTGGGTTCCAGTAAAACAGAGATTCCCAGCTTATTTTTATTTGTTGGCCCTTACAAAGGCTCTCACTCTGTTTACCAGGAGACCACCTCTATCATTGTTGTCCTCCTCCCCCTCCTCCAAAGTATCTCCTGGTTTAAGAAGTATTAGCCTTGCTCTGTCTGGCTCAGCATAAATGGGGCTTCCTGGCGCATTCAGGGGGTGGGAAGAGCTCCGTGGGCTCCACAGTTTGTTTGCTCATTCAGTTAACAATGGTGCATCTCCCAAGTGCTAGACAAGAGGCTACAAAGAGTTGTCAAGACTCCCGGAGTCCAGTGGCTAGGAGGAGTAGTGCCCACTCTGTAGAGAGACCAACAAAGAAAGTGGTACAAGGAGAGGATAAAAAGGAGAAGACAGGTCTGGA